CATTACGCCCAGATTACGATGCGCACCCAGGCACAATCTAAACAGAACAGCACGCCAAGATTCAAACTAGCCCATTGGGGATCGTTGACTTCGCAGTCCACGCATGTGTTATTACCAGGTACTGCTCGCAATGCTTCTTTGAGTCGTTTAACAGGCACGGGCCTTTCTGACGTTGAGTTCCTTCTGTTGGGATTTGGACTCCTTGTTTGACCAAATTTAAAGGACGCTGTGGAAATAAGAACAAAAGGTGAATTTTAGTACCTAAGTATGCAAACGCTAGTCGGTTTTCTAAATTGCATCTGTATCGATGCAGCCCGCCACTGATAGACGCGAAAATGGCAAATGATATCGATGTAATACACTTGTATCCGCGATAAAAACACGCAGAGTAAAGTGTAGACTGAGGTTAGTATGCACACAATGATGCAGAGAACAAATATGTATTTCCAGCTCCTCTTGTTCGAGCTTGAGTGAGAAGTCGGAGACCTCTTCTAAATCAGTTCGTCTTCGTATATGGGAGGGGTGATTTTGTACTCATCCTCCTGGGATTGCGGTAGCTACAATGGCCAGGCCTAGCAATATGTTTTACATCATGTCCATATGTCATTGTAGCGTGCTGTGAATATGGCGATGCCGTAAACAGCTCAGATATGATCAATAAATATTATTAAGTAATTACCAACTCCTAAATATCAAAATATCCAGGCGATATGCATTAATGCACATACTTGCAGTATGGGTTGGTGATTCTAATGCCGATGTCTTGCAGGCCGTGACAGCATCGATCCATAATTGCCTCTCCTCAGCCGAGAAGGCTTGTAATTCGAAGGTAAGATACGGAGCTATCAAGTCGAATGTATACATCCTCTCAGCCACTTTGCTAGAGCTCGTCCTCGCTTCACAAAGTATTAAATCTGCCTTTTCAACATCCACTCCATTCTAACAGACCAAAACAAAAGTGGATATTATCGTCAATAACATATACTTTAGCGTATTGACACAAGACGGAGTAAACAATGTTCACAGATAAATTGATGACTTGCAAACGCGGTAAGTAGGCGGGCGTAAGAAAAAGATACCGCATGAAAGCACACCGCAGCACAAAGTATACATACCTCGACTTTATACAATTTCCCTTCTTCTGGCTGGATAAACCTGGGTGAGAAATATCGAGTGCACATATCAATGCCAGCATAAGAGTATAAATTCCTATGCTTGTAGGCTCGCATGTATGATCACATATGGCTGGGTGCATAATTTAGAAACAAGACCCTCAATATCCGTTCCTGAGCCGCAATAAACTGTGTACTCTAATCGTGTAGACGACGGCCCATGCCCTCCAGCAATCGTTCACGATATGACAAATATCAGAAATGCTACCTATCATAAGAATGGCTACATGCAGTCACTGGTATAGTGTATTTTGCAACGCCCTGGACGTGCGGCATTATGCAGCTTAGTTGGTAAGAACAAAAAAATATTGATCTCAATAGGCCAGGTACAAATCAAATATATTCGTGCTGGCTTTTGGGTAGAATAACACAGAATACCAGACTTACATGTAGCATCTGGGCCAAGTGGTTCTGTTCAGACTGCTGATAGTTTTTACGTTCAAATAGCCTCTCATCGTATCATGGCTGTACGGTGACTCGATTGCAGGCCCTGGTGCCGATTTAGGGGCTCGGAGACTATCAAACCATTTACTGAAACTGCACGGAGAATATGCGATTGTGCACAAACAGTTTAGTATCATAGGGATGCCATTTGGTATGATCCCAGAAACTAGTGCAGATTCACAACGAATACTGTGCCGGCTCGCAAAGTAGTGCCGCGAATATCACTTTTCTCCAGTGATCTACAAAACTAAATTTGCAATTAATGTGGCCTTACTATATATAACTGAACAGGACGGGTGGAGTTTGACTTAATGCTGACTACCTGTGGTTTCTCAAGAACAATCACGAGAATGCAACAAAGTTCATATCAATTTTAACGTCGATCAGTTGAAATCCAGAATCAGTCCTAAATACGGACATGTTCCAGCAAAATTAGAATAAAACTAGAGCCACAAAATTCAGTGTATATGTGAAAACATGATGCATTTCAGTTCAAATGTGATAGTCAAACACAAATCAACACGGCGACGAGTGTTTGTCTATCAGACATACACTACAGCGCCGCGATGGACAGTGCACCCACCTAGACGCTTCTTTCGACTTCTCCCCAGATTCGACTGACGCAGTGGAGGTCTCTCCACCCTCTAACTCGCCGTGAGCAGTAGCATAGCAAATCAAGGTAATACAACAGACGAATGAGATGAGTATTGATTGATTTGTTCTGATTGTCTACTACAATTGGACTAACAGATTGCTACACCTGTAGTGTAACGGAATTTGCAAGTGAATCTTGAAAGTGAATCTTGAAGTGATAGTGGTTTTGCGGATGAGGGATTTGTGGGTAAAGCCTGGAAACGAAGGCCACCAGAATCAAGGTACCATATTTGTGTATAGATGGCGAATTTGGATGATTTCGAACTCGAACTCGGAACTAATCTAATTGATTGTTGATCCAGTCTAAAGAAGAACTAAATATGCAATACCTTCATTGTCCTTGGCGGTGACTATAGTGGGCAAATTTGATTCAATGTTGATGTCGTTGATATTTTCGGCGCTTGCTGGTTCACTTTTCGATGGTATGTTGAAGAATGTTTCAAAAAAATTCTTTGCTTGCTCAGCGGAGCCTATGGAATTATTGGATCTATATGAATCCGACGCAACGGATAAAGTATTGCGCACCTCCGATTCACTCTGAATTTGTGGCATAGCGGTGTCTGCCAGTGTGGATGTGTACAAATGGGAGGGAATATTGTTTAAATTGATATTTGACAACTCGTTTCTGATGCTGAAGCAGTGAGAAGTGTCTACTGAAGAGAAGCCATGAGCGATTATGTATTGTGTCGAGAAAATTAGGAACATAGATCCTGACTGTCTCTATAAAAGTAATATGCATATGCCAAATTATTATTGTGATTACAGTTTGGAATGTACCACAAAATACTTGATAGTGGAGCTCTACGTGAGCACACTTAAGATCTGTCCCGGGATACAACGTGCCTATTATATACTAATCACTTGCAAAGGCACATTGGCATGTCTCACAGTCTCAGCTCATCGAAACCATGCGCACAGTCTTTAAATCGGCATAACGTTGTGAGTTCATGTGCATATTACTTGCTGGTCGTGGTTACAACTGCGCAATTCATGGTACAATTAGAGACAGCTGAAACTCTGCACTTGAGTTGAAATTATCTTATGGGAAGAGTTGAGTGAAGGGCAACACACCACATCAAACTCATCGACCAGCTCAACAACCAATAGCCATTGCAAATAGAAGCAAGCACACAAAGCAGATTATAGCTTGGAATAGACAACATGCCGCTATACTGGCAGACACGATACTGTGATTAATACGGAACATGGCTGTACACTCATATGGTCAAACTACGATGGAGTGCCCGCCACTGTGAATTCACCGCACAAATCGACTGCTTGATCACGACAAATCTATAGTGCAGTATGTTTTATCCCATAACTGCAAACGCAAAATATGTTCGCGTAGAGGTGAGAATTGCAACATTCACTCGGCCTACCTACCCGCCCCCTCATAAGGTGTGGGCTCTAATTCTGGATTGGGTGATGCACCTGGATGGTTGGGTGTGATGGCCACTACATCGAGATCTGCAAATATATCAGAAGCGAATCATGGGACAATGAGTTACGATGCGTAGATTTGTACTCGGCCTCTACAATCATGTCGTGTACGTGTAACTCTCCCATGGGTCAAATAGCGATGATCGATTCATAATTGAGAAGGGTAGTCTGAACGAGCCCTTTTCCCTAGTAGCGAATTTATGTGTGCTAGCTGCCGATGGAGCACGCGACACAACTTTGAGAGATACACATTCGTGGCCATTCACGATGAAAATCGTCTCAGTTGTGTGGTCTTTCCCGTGTAATATATCTCTGTCACACACACCGCATCGCATGAATGCTTCGCGCAATTTACTCACCACTGTCTACATCTTCCTCAGTGCCCAAATTCTTTACCAAATCGGCCGTGACTCCTGCCTGCTTACTTAGGAGTTTTGGCAGCGGAGAGGTCTCCTGTTCAATAGAAGGGGGTTTTCTCGTGTCCGCTGTTTTTGACGCGTTGCTGGGAACGGCATCGAGCGTAAGTGTGGTCTTTACGGTGTTATCTGGTGCTGCTTGGGCTTTCTGCAGATCATAGGCTTTGGCTTGGTCAACTATGTCGCGCGCGAGGTCGCACACATTTGCGTTGTGCTCTGCGAAGGACCCGTGGAAAAATCTGGGCGAGTGATGCAACGGCAGGAACGAGTATTAGGGTATACACCGATAACACGAGGTGGTGCAGAGTGGGGCGCCTGTAACAGGAATCGAACAGCTATGGACATATAACCCACAGGAGCGTCAACTGCCACAGAAACAACTTACTTGTACATAGAGGATATCTTGTGGAACATCTTCGAAGTCATCTGATCGCTGCATGTAGATCAACACGACAGAAGTGTGAGTAAAAACTCTCACGAGAGTGGACAACAAGGTGGCAATCATCTATATTACACACGAAAAAGTGCTGACACCTTGGTAGTATAGTAATGCGTACTCGAATGGCTACAAACCTTGATAAAAACATCGAATGAACATTGTAGCCATGCGCAAATAGCGCATTGATGTATCCCAGCAGACTCTTAGAGAAGGACGTGATACTCGACTTCCGAACTGTAGCAAGCTGTGATGCGTACGCAATATATTCTCTCTGTGTTGGAAAAGCGAAAGTATATATGGAGTGAATTCCTCGGAATATAAACACGAAATGTCAAGAATGCTCGTCACAATACCAACTCGCCAGTGTGGGTTTCCCCGACTTCGCTTAAACAATTACATTTAGTCGTTGAGCAAAAACGAAAAGGAGTAGTTTGAAACATTTTAAAATGCTCTATAATTTGAAAGCAATTGCTTTTCGGGCAGCCAACAAACAACGGTTAATTGAACATGTTATACGCCAACTTACCTGTAGTGTGTTGCGAGATTGTACCGCTGTCTCCAGACGCCTGTAGACAGTTGATGCCGAATCCGTGGGTTTGGACTTCGCATGCTTTTCTAAATTACTTAGATACTCTTTACTCAAATTGATGATCTGCAGGTTCGAATGGTTCAAAAAAGATGTCGAGTGAGAGCATTAGACTTTTCATTGCGAATCGCCAGAGATTTATTTTGAACCTATCAACCGAACCGATTTGGAATTCAAAAAAATATATATTGGTATCGATCAAAGCGGATCAAGTTGACCACTCCCGGTTCCTAATCAGGCTATCTCTCTGATCAGAGCTTGCAGCGTAGTTGAAGCTAGCAAGTACAACCTTCCAATCTGACAATCAATGATATTAAATACAACTTTTTCATCTAGTCAGTTTATTTTTTCACAGGATTTTGCTTACCTTCTTCCTCTGTGTTGAGAAGTAGCCATTTCCCGTCTCTATCGTTGCTACTGGTTCCACGAGCAGCATGTCCAATTGCTCCAGGTATATATTGTAGTGATTGATATTTATTAGAATCTCGCTCAGCGCTTTCAGAGGGGCCCTCTGTCATGTATTCGAACATGTAATACATAGTTACAATGAGAATCATCAGGTGACAATATGGTATAGTCGAGCCGGCAGCTAAAACACGTACCAATCAATCTACGTTAGCATACAAGGTGCATGTTTACCTGACTACCTATATGCATAAAGTCATAATGTTTGACAAATAAATACAGTACAGATGTAAATTTTTGTAGAGCATGTGCTGCAACTCTCATCAAGAATACAAATAGGCAGTATCAGAAGAGCTCTCTGATTTCTTAGAAAGCAATGAGCTCAAATAGAAAAATAAGCAAACGAGCCTATAGCAAACTCGTCAGTGTGAAGATTAAAACGAAAGCATGGTCATACATAGGACCAATAATATATTCACACCATGTCTGAGCGGCGCAAGAACAGCAACACATGACTTAATACAATCTATCAATCGATCTACCTGATCTTCATCCATAAGACCTATCTTACTCAAGTCGGTGACTCCATTGGTGAATTTCGTGAAAGCCCTTCCATACGCCAGCGACGCCTCTTGTAATTCTTTTGCAGCGACTGACACGGAGGCTATTTCGTTTGTGAAGTCTTCCGACTAAGTGCATGTGGGCAATCGAACAAGTGAGAAAGTTTGAAGTAAAAACTTCTTACATGTCTGGCAAGAAAGTGGCACTCAATTATAAATAATCGTAGGAAATAAAATATCCAAATGAAACAATTATCA